TGGATTGGAGATTCTTTATGTGAGTCTGGAAGTTGAGTTTACAGTCTAACCAGACACCTAGGTATTTGTAGTTGTCCACATACTCTAGGTCAGACCCGTCGAGAGTGGTGATTCTAGTCGGGTGGGCGGGTGCCAGCAGCGTTCGATTGAAAAGCATGCATTTAGTTTTACTAGTGTTTAAGAGCAGTTGGAGGCTACTGAAGGATTGTTGTATGGCATTGAAGCTTGTTTGGAGGTTTGTTAACACAGTGTCCAATGAAGGGCCAGATGTATACAAAATGGTGTCGTCTGCGTAGAGGTGGATCTGAGAGTCACCAGCAGCAAGAGCGACATCATTGATATACACGGAGAAAAGTGTCGGCCCAAGAATTGAACCCTGTGGCACCCCCATAGAGACTGCCATAGGTCCAGACAACAGGCCCTCCGATTTGACACACTGAACTCTATCTGAGAAGTAGTTGGTGAACCAGGCGAGGCAGTCATTTGAGAAACCAAGGCTATTTAGTCTGCCAATAAGAATGCGGTGGTTGACAGAGTCGAAAGCCTTGGCCAGGTCGATGAAGACGGCTGCACAGTACTGTCTATTATCAATCGCGGTTATAATATCGTTTAGGACCTTGAGCGTGGCTGAAGTGCACCCGTGACCAGCTCGGAAACCGGATTGCATAGCGGAGAAGGTACGGTGGTATTCGAAATGGTCGATGATCTGTTTGTTAACTTGGCTTTCGAATACTTTCGAAAGGCAGGGCAGGATGGATATAGGTCTGTAGCAGTTTGGATCTAGAGTGTCACCCCCTTTGAAGAGGGGGATGACCGCGGCAGCTTTCCAATCTCTGGGGCTCTCAGACGTTATGAAAGAGAGGTTGAACAGACTAGTAATAGGGGTAGCGACAATTTCGGCGGCTAGTTTTAGAAAGAAAGGGTCCAGATTGTCTAGCCCAGCTGATTTGTAGGGGTCCAGATTTTGCAGCGCTTTCAAAACATCAGCTGTCTGAATTTGTGTGAAGGAGAAGCGGGGGGGGCATGGGCAAGTTGCAGCAGAGGGTGCAGAGTTGGTGGCCGGGTTAGTGGTAGCCAGATGGAAAGCATGGCCAGCTGTAGCAAAATGCTTGTTGAAATTCTCGATTATTGTAGATTTATCGGTGGTGATAGTGTTTCCTAGCCTCAGTGCAGTGGGCAGCTGGGAGGAAGTGCTCTTATTCTCCATGGACTTTACAGTGTCCCAAAACTTTTTGGAGTCAGTGCTACAGGATGCAAATTTCTGTTTGAAAAAGTTAGCCTTTGCTTTCCTGACTGCTTGTGTATATTGGTTCCTAACTTCCCTGAAAAGTTGCATATCGCGGGGGCTATTTGATGCTAATGCTGTACGCCACAGGATGTTTTTGTGCTGGTCAAGGGCAGTCAAGTCTGAGGAGAACCAGGGGCTATATCGGTTCTTAGTTCTGTATTTTTTGAATGGGGCATGTTTATTTAAGATTGAGAGGAAATTACTTTTAAGGAACAACCAGGCATCCTCTACTGACGGAATGAGATCTATATCCATCCAGGATACCCGGGCCAGGTCAATTAGGAAGGCCTCCTCGCTAAAGTGTTTTAGGGAGCGTTTGACAGTGATGAGGGGTGGTCGTTTGACCGCGGACCCGTTACGGACGCAGGCAATAAGGCAGTGATCGCTGAGATCCTGTGTCACGATCGTCTTGACGAGAAGTAGACCAATACGCAGCGTGTTGAGCGAACATGATTGACTTTATTACCGTCAGTGATAATAAGCACACTACACAAAACAATAAACGACTCGTGAAGTCCACGGTGACAAAGACCGACAAGGAACAAAAACCCACAAACCCAAAGTGAAACACAGACAGTTAAATATGGCTCCCAATCAGAGACAACCAGCAAACAGCTGACACTCATTGCCTCTGATTGGGAGTCACTCAGTCAAACATAGAAAATGACGAACTAGAACACCCAACATAGAAACAGAACACATAGAATGAACACACCCTGGCTCAACATAATGAGTCCCAGAGCCAGGGTGTGACATCCTGGTTGAAGACAGCTGAGGTGTATTTAGAGTGGTTGTCCCACTGGCTATCATAAGGTGAATGCACCAATTTGTAAGTCGCTCTGGATATGAGCGTCTGCTAAATGACGAAAATATATATATAATTTAATAATAATTTGGTAGGTGCTTATATTTGTCCTATATCACACATGTGAATTGGAAATGTGTTTTTTACTCCACTCAGAGAGTGGGTTCTTGGCCAGGGTCAGCCATTATCAACGGCGACCCTGGAGCAATGGAGTTAAGTGCCTTGCTCAAGGTCACATCGATCTGATAATCTGTGAAGTGTGCCTGGCAATGAAAACAAGCTATACTAGAACGTGCCTTAAATCTCCAGCTTCAAGTTCACAGATTCACAGAGGAACACAAATGTAACTCAAGTAATTTAGTTAAAGGCCCAATGCAGCCTTAAAAAAAAAATCTATATCAAATAATTTCTGGGTAACAATTAATTACCTTAGTGTAATAGATTTCCATTTAAATGGGCAACGATAGCTTTTTAGCAAAACACTTTCTCAAGCAAGTATTTTCCTAGGACTGTCTGGGAGTGGTCTGAGTGGGGAGGGGAAAACTGAAAACTAGCTGTTAATGAGGGGATTTGATTAATCTGGACCGGGTGCCCGGGTAGGTGTCTTTAGCACCGGGTGAAAGTTGATTGCATTCATTTTGAAACCGGTCTGCCTCCCAGGCATGAACCAGGTGCCTGTTCAAAGCCCATGGCGAAGTCGGCTCAAAACAAAAGTGACCTAATTAAGCACAAAGAGTAATGAGGAGGATTCTGTGTTTTCACAGGCAAAAGTGATTGCTTTAAATAAAAATGCTTTATCTGCCTTCCCAATGAAAACTATACTGAACAAAAATATAAAAGAAACATGCAACAATTTCAAAGATTTTACTGAGTTACAGTTCATAAAAGGAAATCAGTCAATTGAAATTAATTAATTATGCCCTAATCTATGGATTTCACATGACTAGGCAGGGGTGCAGCCATGGGTGGGCCTTGGAGGGCATAGGCCCAACCACTTGGCAGCCCCACAAAAGGGCTTTATTACAGACAGAAATACTCCTCAGCACCACCCCGGTTGTGTGGCCATTTGGACATACTGCCAAATTCTCTAAAACGACGTTGGAGGCAGCTTATGGGAGAGAAAGGAACTTTTAATGATCTGGCAACAGCTCTGGTGGACATTCCTTCAGTCAGCATGCCAACTGCATGCTCCCTCAAAACTTAAGACATCTGTGGCATTGTGTTGTGACAAAACGGCACATTTTAAAGTGGTATTTTATTGTCCCCAGCACAAGGTGCACCTGTGTAATGATCATGCTGTTTAATCAGCTTCTTGATATCCCACACCTTTCAGGTGGATGGATTATTTTGGCAAAGGAGAAATGCTCACTAACAGGGATGTAAACACATTTGTGCACAACATTTTAGAGAAATAATTTTTTTGTGCGTATAGAACATTTCTGGGATTTTGAATTTCAGCTCATGAAACATGGGACCAACACTTTACAGTGTAGTTAGAAAATTAAAATATGTATTTTGTAGAAAATAGATGTTGTATGTTTCTGGATGATGCACCATGCTGCCTTGTTGACAACATGAATGAGCAGCGCAGATTACTGTTCAAGTTGAGAAGGGCGTTCCTCCCTCACCGCTTTTGCCCGTTCACGTCACGGGCCATAGACCGGTGCCCCGAGGCTCAGCATAATCCAATCTGCCCATAGGCAGAGAGGTTTGGAACTCTCTTTGTTGTTGGTCTATTAACCAATTTACTGCATGGTGATGTCACCATGGAAAGCCGAAACTCCCGCCCATGCAAACCTGCTGATTAGGTCCTGTGTAGATTGTATTTTCAAGCAGCAACTATCAGGAAATACCACTGATTACATTTTGTTTTAACTTTTACAGTGTTAGTTTCATCAGCTGTTGTACAATATTATACAAAACACAGGAAAAAAATATTCCACTGCACTGGGTCTTTAATGTTAAAATTTCTAAATATTAGATTAGGAATGTACCTTAGAGTAATGTGAGTGCATTTTTTCTCAAGAGCAATGGAAAGCAATGGAAATGTTAACTCGGACAGCAATAAATAGCTTTCCAAGTTTCCCAAGAAGCTAGCTAGGTGTCATGTAGTCTTCAGCATTGGTACAGTTTAGTATTCACTTTACAGTTTCCTCAGTAAAATGGGGCCACAATCAGGCACGTCATACTTTCTGGGCGTGGACCTAGTTAGCAAGCTAGGAGCTAGCTACTGTAGCTAGCAGAAAAAGACCGACCTGATACAGAAACACAGCTAGCTAGCAATCCTGGTTGTGATAATATTGTCACTGGATTTAAATTAACAGGTAGCTATGTCTATTTTTCAACGAATGTGATTTGTGATAATACCTTTACCTTGTGAGTCCTTGCTTGCTGTTTAGGTCATCCAATTTGATCAAGCTAGCAAGCCAGGTAACTGACGTTAGCTAGCTAACGCCAGGCCTGCCATTTGTGTTTGATGATCAAATTATGATCTAATAACGTTAGTCACATTAACTTCATCTAGCTATTTTGTTAGATTCAAAGTGCAATCGCGTGTTTCATGATAATGAATTTAGCTACTGTAGCCAGCTAAACGTATTTAACTAGCAACAATGCGCTAGCTAAATTCACAATGTTAGCCTTGTTAGATAGCTAACATTACCAGCTAGCATTTGCAGCAATTTCAAATGTCTAACGTTACAGGACACGTTTAGCTAGTTAACTGCATTCACTTACCTAAAAGTGAAATACAATTTAGATGGGTAGCTAGTTAACTAGTTGCCTAGTTAAACATTATTAGCCAAGTAGCTAGCTGAGTAACGGTAGCTCGTTAATTAACGTTATCTAAGCATTACAAACATACCGATATGCTTCTTCACTTTCCTCAGGTTTAAAATAATACCAACCATGTCTGATGGAGAGGGTTACGTGGTACGTGTGAGAGGCCTACCATGGTCCTGCTCTGTGGATGAAGTACAGAGGTTCTTCTCAGGTAATAACACCTTTACGATAACACTTGTATAGCTTGATACTACACCTTTATAGCCTACACCTCTCACAGCTGAGATAACTTTGAGTCCCTCTTCTTGGTATATAGATTGTAAAATCGCCAACAATGGCACCAGCATCCATTTTACCTCCACACGTGAGGGCCGACCCAGCGGAGAGGCCTTCGTTGAGCTGGAGGACGAGGATGACCTGAAAATCGCTGTGAAGAAGGACAGAGAAACCATGGGCCACAGATATGTGGAAGGTGTGTGTGTGTCTCTGTCTCTCTGTGTGTGCGTTTGTGTGTCACTGTCCAAGTCTTCCTGAAGTTTCAATGTTCGCAGCAGGAGCATAATATGTGCCTTGGGACTTCACTTTGGGCTACATTTCTCAGCCGTTTACATTGTGTAGCACTTTCAGTAGTGACTTAGGTCTGTGTGTGATGACTTGACTTGTATTTCCTCAGTGTTCAAATCCAACAACGTGGAGATGGACTGGGTGATGAAACATTCTGGTCCAAACTGCCCAGAGACGACTGGAGACGGCCTGGTCAGACTCCGAGGCCTCCCCTTCGGCTGCAGCAAGGAGGAGATCGTCCAGTTCCTCTCAGGTACCAGTAACTAGGTCCACATAAACAGCCCCATAACATCCTGTAGGAGTAGGTAGACCGTCCTCAGCCCTCATCAATTTTTCAGTCATTTAGCAGACAGTCTTGTCCAGAGCAACTTACATTATACAGGCTATAGTTTGTCCAGGATTTCCCCATCACCTAAGTTCCTCTATCACTGCTTTGGTCCCAACCAACACTTTTTAAAATGAATTATTCTGTACAATAATTTGGCCAATCAGGGCTGACATGCTAGTCTCCTCTGTCACTTTCCATTGACAGTTGTCCTGTGGTGTTTTCCCATGAACCCACTATATCATAACAAAGATGTCATTCATCCCATTGGGACAATTATAGAATGGATGGGTACTAAAGGTAACACAAGTACTGCCAGAGCCACTCCTCTTCATTCCTTCCCACCTACAGTCTCTTCCTCGTCTGTATCCTTCTCTCTCTCGCTCTCGCTCTCGCTCTCGCTCACTCTTTCCCCTCTCCTCTCATCCTCCTTTATGTTCCCCCAAATGCAGTAAAAGTAAGTACCATGAATGGTCACTTACTCATTGGTTAAAAACACTCACCTGGTATGTACAGTACATGTCATAATGTATAGTTTTCATTATATCTCTCTCTTAAAAAAAAAAAGTATCTATCTATCGTACGAAATAAATAAAGAAACAATAGAGAAAGCTACCTTTCTGTAACTGGGCATGTGATTTACTGTGTCCCCCGCTGGGGTTATCTGTCCTTGGGTTGAAGGGTTGGAAATCGTGCCAAATGGGATTACATTGCCGGTGGACTTCCAGGGGAGGAGTACGGGGGAGGCCTTCGTGCAGTTTGCTTCACAGGATATAGCTGAAAAGGCTCTAAAGAAACACAAGGAAAGAATAGGGCACAGGTGGGGATGGTTGGTTGGCTGGCTGGATAAAGCTGCTTTTCTTATGGTGTACAACTTACAAACATTAACCATACGTATCACTGACTGACATTCAACAGAACAGTTCATTTAAGACAACACATACTCAGGTATTGACTGTAAAGACACATAGTTACAATATTAGATCAGAACACACTGACACTCATTCACTCACTCACAGCAGTCTTTGGGAAAATGAAGCACATTCTCTTGTTCTAAAACCATTGGGAGATAGATCATATTCTGAGTTTAGTGCCGAGGTGTCTTGAAAGCTCTCAGGTTCGTCACCAAGTTTGGTTGAGCGAGCAGAGTAAAAATTACAGTTGAATTTGGGCATATCCATTTTACCCCAATTAAGAGTGAAGCTAATTGGTTCCTGGGCACTAAACATAAGTACAGGTAGCCAATAGACAGACAGATACGATTCTCCCAGGTTTTCTAACTCACTGAGGGCCAATCAACATGAGGACACGGACCCCGCCCACTGTCACTCACAGGTAATGCTCAGAGAGTGGGTCTCCATGGATAACAACAGGACAATGACCACGACAGGGACACAATGTAACAGGACACAGATTGTACTGTAACATCAATGTTAACTGTATCGGGTACCTGCAGGTAACCATAAGAAAAGTGCCTGTTGTACTGTCAAGGCTTTATTTTTTCCCTCTCATACTACACAGTATACTGTTACCCACTAGATCAAGTCTCACCTACCTACGGAGCAGTAGTGCCAATGGCAGCACCTGGCCTGAATAACCCAACTTTATCAGTACCCTCAATGACAAGCAAATACACAAAAATGTCAGCTCAGCAACTGAATATTGAACACCCAACTTTATTGGTACCCTTTACATTTGAACAGACACATTCATTCAGCCTTTGGAGCTGTACAGTAGCTAGCTCTAGCCGCCACCTCCTGTGTGTGGTGCGGTCTTCATGGTGGTGTGTGTACTGTATGTATCTCAGGTACATTGAGATCTTCAAGAGCAGCCGTGTCGAGGTGAGGACCCACTACGAACCCCAGAGGAAACCTATGGGGATGCAGAGACCGGGGCCCTACGACAGACCGTCTGGGGGCCGTGGGTACAACATGATGGGGGGCCGAGGAGGGGGCTCCTATGACAGGGCTAGACGCGGAGGCTATGGTGGAGGTGTGTGTAATGTCTACCCAGTCATGCTCTTCCTAGCACTATGCACATTCCTATCATGATGAGAGACGGTATGATATGTCTCCATGACCCAGACCAGTCTCTCTGTAACTAAGGTGTGTGTGTCTAACTTCAGGTGTCTCTGATGGGAGGTACGGTGATAGTAGCTCCTCCTTCCAGAGCACCACGGGTCACTGTGTTCACATGAGGGGTCTGCCCTACAGAGCCACAGAGACCGACATCTACAATGTGCGTTATAGGATCTCTTACTAAGAATGGTCTGTGTGTGAGACGGTGAGTATAACGTCCTGCTCTCTCTCTCCGTAGTTCTTTTCTCCTCTGAACCCAGTGAGAGTGCATGTAGAGATCGGTCCTGACGGCAGAGTGACAGGAGAGGCTGACGTGGAGTTTGCTACACATGAGGACGCTGTGGCAGCCATGTCGAAGGACAAGGCCAACATGCGTGAGTCTGTCATTTTTTTTTTTTTTTCATCAGTTTGAGCCGACCACAGCTTCACCCCCCCCCCCCCCCCCCATAATCCCTCCTTCTTCCCCCCCCCCCCCCCATAATCCCTCCTTCTTCCCCCTCATCCTCCCCAGCATTCCTTCCTTATTTTCCTACCTTAATATGATTAAATACATGTGCTAACCAGCTGTCTGTCTTGCAGAGCACCGCTATGTGGAGCTGTTCCTCAACTCTACAGCAGGGGGCAGTAATGGCTCGTACGGCAGTCCGATGCAGGGTGGTATGGGGAGCCAGTCCTCCTATAGCAGTGGAGGGCTGAGCTCTGGATACTCTGGAGGCTACAGTGGCCAAGGCAGCATGGGAGGTTACAGTGATTATAGTGAGTATCAGCTCTGTAAAACACACACCTGTTCACATGTACCTCCACCACTGTTGACCAGCCTTCTATGTCGTATCTGCGTATGACCTGAACTATCAAGCTTTAGAGTGTGTGTGACCTCTGAACTTCTCGGTCCCATAGTGTGTATCTCTCTCCTGTCAGGTAACCAGGGCGGTATGAGCAGCAGTTATTATAGCGGCGGTGGAGGAAGCAGGAGTTCCAATGGCCTGGGGGCAGGATGGGGGATGTAGTTCTTTAACCAAGCATGTGTTCGGCTGGAAGGACTGGAATTGTAGTTCTTACCTGGATGTTTTGTTTTAGACCGATCGTATTCATGATTGAGGCTCCTTTGAAGTAATGTTGGTAGAAATTAGAGACATTTCGTTTTCACCCTCTCCTATCCTACTGTTAATGACATGACTGCAGCGACACAAACTGTTTGGTACTGTTGGAACAAAAACTGACCTTGGGCGGAATGCTTGTTTCATCATCGTTACCAGGAAGTGTGTGTTGTTTTGGTGTTTTAACAAAGATTCAAATAACCAACTGTGATTATGACCCAGTCTGTTTCTTTAACCCACAGTAGCTCACCTTATGTTGACCAGAGCTTTTATTTGACCATGAAGTGACTGACTGCAGGGTTGGGGTAAACTCTAGTCAATTCAGAAAGTAAACCAAATTCCAATTCCACATTTTGTTTTAATTGAAATGTAATTGACCCCACCCCTGACTGTTCTGTCTCCCCGAGTGTATGAACCAACACACCTCTGTAAATAGTATTCTAGATGTTCCTTGTCTTTTCTCCAGTAGGTGCAAAAATATGTAGACTTTGTTGAAGTCTGAAACAATGGTGTGAAGTTAACATTTTACATGGTGAACAAAGAGCATGTTTGAGTTTGTTTTATAATGAAGAGTGATTGTTATGGGAGGGGTTACGGGGAATTCTCCATGAGGGATGGATACTTACCTAATTTAGTTGGCAAACAAACCTTACGTTTTTCTGTTATAAAGGTTTCTTTCTACTGCCTATGGGGAATTTTCTCTTTGTATTTCTTGTAAGGTGCACAAGAGTGAATACAATTTTAAGATGGATACATGTCTGTTTGTCTTGTTTGAGGTGAGTAGTTTCTTAGACAGTCAAGGAGAAACAACACATTCAGATACGTTTTTATTAAATTAGATATCTTTATAGAAAACATGCCCCAATTACCCGTCAGAAAGTGGCTGTTTTAGTAGCACTGGTCACAATCAATCCACAAAATGATCGTTATTTATATACATTCTAAAATAGACCTTTAGTATCTTGATTTGTTAAGAACATTCTGTAGTCATTTACAATAAAAAAAGACCTGGGTCTAACAAATCCACAATTCTTCAGCTAGGCAGGTTAAGATGAACAGAAAATAACTTGGTTCCTTTGCTTCACTGGAAGTGAAAGAACCACGTGAAATGATCTATAGAAACGCCTCGAAGATAGACCTTTTCAAAACTGAGAAACTCCTGATTTATAATTAAGTGAATCAACACAATGCTATTATTGAAGGTCAGTTCGTCTACTAACATTTTCCCCCAATTGTGACATTGTTGCATATTGGGTCATTCATAATACAACACAAATACTGATGCCTGTTCCAATACCCTGTGGCTCCCTTCAACTACAACTATCCTTTAAATTCAGCATCCTAGAGGGTATATGGAGTATAACTGGGAATGGAGTTAGTTTGTAACAGCTGGCTGACTCATTGTATTCTTTATTGATCTTACTTTGTGAAATCCCCTCAGGTGAGTTTAAAAGAGAGAAGGCAGTACCCTCTACCGTTCAACAATCAACCATGCCCAAACATCTTGAACTTTATAAACATTATAGATTACACCAAAGCCCCTGTTCGTGCTCAAATATGATAAATGTTTTTCTCAGTGACCAATAGTACTGTGGGCTTTGATCACTACAATGACTTGAGCGAGGGAAGAAAGATTGAGTGAGAAGGAGAGCGTGTGTGAGGGTCCTATGTGTGTGGGTTCTGTCAGGAGGTGCTCCTCTGCAGCAGGAGGGAATGGCAGATGTCACAGACCCGTACAGGTCGAGGGTAGGAGGGCAGGGCCAACTCGTTACTAGAACAACTGTTGCAGTAGATATCTCCACAGTTCCTACAGTGGTGCTGCAGACAGGGAGGGAGAAAAAAACCCCCACAGACATTTAGTATAACTGTATTTGTAACACTTGTGGCAAATGAGAGCATTTCATACGAAGGCATTTCTAAATCTTTCTCTACATCTGCCACAGACCAGAATCCACAACTGAAGGAAAGACAGAAGAGATGGCTGGACAGAGCCGCTTCACCTTTCTGCGAGCGATGGAGAACTCCTTCTGACAGTGTTTACACTGTGTAGCCTCGTCGTCTTTCAGCCAGGCTTGGCCCTGATGGACACGGACAGACAACAATGCTCAAACACAAATGATTATATAATAGAGTGTGTGTCGTGTAGGTCATAGACTTCTCCTTGTACCTGAAGGACTCTATGACCAGCGAGACCACCAAGGAGTACCCGTCTCTTCTGTTCTTCACTAGTAAACTCCATAGAGACTTGGTGTAACAGAGGGCTAGGGGAAAGGGGAAGTGTTATGGAGGACAGGGAATACGTTACCTTCAGGGCTTTATTGACCTCTTTGAAGTCCTCCATCTTCAGTTTCGACCTACGAGAGAGATGAGTCACACAAAGATAAAACAGAGGGAACACAGGAAGGAAGAGAAAGAGGAGGATTAGGAGTGGGCCTAGTACAGTACTCACTGGCTGAGGTGTAGGCCCATCTCCTGTAAGGCTGTCTAGTACAGTACTCACTGGCTGAGGTGTAGGCCCATCTCCTGTAAGGCTGTCTAGTACAGTACTCACTGGCTGAGGTGTAGGCCCATCTCCTGTAAGGCTGCCTAGTACAGTACTCACTGGCTGAGGTGTAGGCCCACCTCCTGTAAGGCTGTCTAGTACAGTACTCACTGGCTGAGGTGTAGGCCCATCTCCTGTAAGGCTGCCTAGTACAGTACTCACTGGCTGAGGTGTAGGCCCATCTCCTGTAAGGCTGTCTAGTACAGTACTCACTGGCTGAGGTGTAGGCCCATCTCCTGTAAGGCTGTCTAGTACAGTACTCACTGGCTGAGGTGTAGGCCCATCTCCTGTAAGGCTGTCTAGTACAGTACTCACTGGCTGAGGTGTAGGCCCATCTCCTGTAAGGCTGCCTAGTACAGTACTCACTGGCTGAGGTGTAGGCCCATCTCCTGTAAGGCTGTCTAGTACAGTACTCACTGGCTGAGGTGTAGGCCCATCTCCTGTAAGGCTGTCTAGTACAGTACTCACTGGCTGAGGTGTAGGCCCATCTCCTGTAAGGCTGCCTAGTACAGTACTCACTGGCTGAGGTGTAGGCCCATCTCCTGTAAGGCTGTCTAGTACAGTACTCACTGGCTGAGGTGTAGGCCCATCTCCTGTAAGGCTGCCTAGTACAGTACTCACTGGCTGAGGTGTAGGCCCATCTCCTGTAAGGCTGTCTAGTACAGTACTCATTGGCTGAGGTGTAGGCCCATCTCCTGTAAGGCTGTCTAGTACAGTACTCACTGGCTGAGGTGTAGGCCCATCTCCTGTAAGGCTGTCTAGTACAGTACTCACTGGCTGAGGTGTAGGCCCATCTCCTGTAAGGCTGTCTCCTGCTCCTGACAGCTCTGCTGGAGCTGCTTCTTCTCCTGACGAACATCTTGCAGCTCCTAGAAACACACAGAAACAAGCTCAGAAGAAAAACGGGAGGTGGACTTGTCTTTTCTCTGTGTGTGTGATGCTGACCGTGTGTAGCCCCTGTATCTGTTGTAGTTGGGTGCGTAGCTCAGTGCTGTTGTCCTGTTCTCTCTGTAGAGCTCTCTGAATGGCCTGTCTCTGCTCCTTCTCACTGCACAGATCACTCTCCAGACCCAGCCTAGACAGACAGGGGGGAGTAGGTCACAACGTGTGTGTGTGTGTGTGTGTGTGTGTGTGTGTGTGTCCGTGCGTACGTACCTCAGTGTGTCCAGGTCAGACAGTTGTTTCTGTAGGGAGTCCACTCTGCCCTCCAGCTCTGTCCTCATGTCTCTATCTGTCTGGTCACACTGTCTGCGATCACGCTCAGAGTTCTGCAGTCTGAAAATACATGGGCTACAATTAGCATTCAATCATGTTAAAACACAGAATCCATTATGGAAAAAACCCTGTTACCCCCCCATCCCTCCCCACACACACCTCTGCTCCATCTCCTTAATGGTGGTCTCCATCTGGTTAATCTTCTCCTCCAGTTGTCCTGCCGCCTCCTGCTTCCTCTGGGCCTCGCGCTCACAGTCCTGCACACACATTCTGTCAAGTGTTGTGTCCTCACCACGGTGTTGCTGCATAAGTGAGTGTGTGTGTTTGTGTTTCATGTTTGCTTGAGCATGTGTGTGTGTCCGTGTGTGTTACCTGTGCCTTATGGAACATCTGCAGGTTGAGGGTTTTGACCTGGTCTAGTTGGTGTCGGAGGGCTTGCAGTGTGTCCTGTTTCTCATGCGTGTCTTTCTCCAGCAGCCTCATGGCCATCTCCATCTCCTGCTTTAGTCCTCCCTGAAGCTCCAACTCCCGCTCCAACTCCTACACACACACACAGGAACAAAGGTACAGGAACACACACACCTGTTGTAGAGGCAGTTAGTTAGCTAGGATCTCATAAAGAAATGTAGAGCTAGTTGTTCATCTCGCTGTTTCACATACCTGTCTGATGCGTTTCTCCTCCTGGTACTGTTTCCACACCACGCTGTACATCTCATCCAGGCCCTGCCGTGTCTGTCTGTATGTCTCCAGCTCTACTGCGCTGTCCTCCAGGGTCGCCTAGGAAACCAAACAGGACGTGAAATGCCAGCTCTTCATATTGTCTGACTTGGATGACAGTTACAGACTGAAAACGGTTGCAGGAAGTGGGAGTGTCCTGACCTCCTCTTTCTTCTGGCTGCTCTGGACGATGGTCTCATTCTCATGTCTCAGTGATTCCTGTTCCTCCCGTAACGAGTTAATTCTGTCTGTCGCTGCCGTCAGCTGTAGGGTTATAACACATCCATAAGCACTGTAGTTTTTTCTTTCTTTTTCTCGTGATTAATCACATTGTCTGATAGTGTTAAAATACACTTAAAACAACCAAATACATAATCTATACAGCTAAAATCGACTATGCCATGTAAAAACAAGTTGACATTGAGGTTAAAGAAAGTCTGCTTTTCTCAATTTAGCAAATTTTACTAACCGTTACTTTAGACAAAATCAAGACGTGAATATACTTGTAATGTTTTTTGTATGAAAAATCTTCAATTACAGTTCACACTTTGAGCAAATTCGGAATTTGCGATTAATCACAGCTAATCCTGCGATTAAGTTGATTAAAAAAAAGAAATTGACAGCCCTAGTTAAAACACATCCATAATGCCTGTAGGGTTATAACATGTTTAAGCACTATGTAGGGTTAAAACACATCAATAAGGACTATAAAGGTTATAACACATCCATAATCACTACATAGGGTTATAACACATCCATAACAACTACCTGAGGTTATAACACATCCATAATCACTATGTAGGGTTACAACACATCTGTAAGGACTATATAGGGTTATAACCATCCATAATCATTACATAGGGCTATAGAACACATCCATAACAACTGCATAGTGCTTATGGATGTATTATATAACCCTATGTAGGGATATAACTAGGGATGTGCATCTTTCCCTTTCAAGACGATTCCATATGTATCTAGATACATACGATACGATACAGGAACGATTCGTTTTAGTTTGAAACGATTTGGTGCGATTTGTTTTAATTAGAGGAACAAATCGATGCGATTCGGTCCGATGTGATACGATTCGAAGCACTAACATTTATTGCATAAACACATTCATTTTCTATTCTAAATTAAAATCGCTGCTGATGGAGCGCATGAGCCAGATCTGTCTGAGCTGACTTGTGTGTGTGTCTAAATGATGTATACTGAACAAAAATATGAACGCAACATGTAAAGTGTTGGTCCCATGTTTCATGAGCTGAAATAAAAGATCCCAGAAATGTTTCATATGCATAAAAAGCGTATTTCTCTCAAATGTTGTACACAAATTTGTTTACATCCGTGTTAGTGAGCATTTCTCCTTTGCCAAGATAATCTATCCACATGACAGGTGTGGCATATCAAGAAGCTGATTAAACAGCATGATCATTACACAGGTGCACCTTGTGCTGGGGACAATAAAAGACCCCTCTAAAATGTGCAGTTCTCTCACACAACTCAATGCCACAGATGTCTCAAGTTTTGAAGGAGCGTGCAATTGGCATGCTGACTGCAGGAATGTCCGCCAGAGAATGTAATGTTCATTTCTCTACCATAAGCTGTTTTAGAGAATTTGGTAGTACGTCCAACCGGCCTCACAACCGCACGCCAGCCCAAGACCTCCACATCTGGCTTCTTCAACTGTGGGATCGTCTGAGACCAGCCACCCGGACAGCTGATGAAACTGTGGGTTTGCACAGCCGAATCATTTCTACACAAACTGTCAGAAACCGTCTCAGGGAAGCTCATCTGCGTGCTCGTCGTCCTCACCAGGGTCTTGACCTGACTGCAGTGCGGCGTCGTAACCGACTTCAGTGGGCAAATGCTCATCTTTGATGTCCACTGGCACACCGGAGAAGTGTTCTCTTCACAGATTAATCCCGGTTTCAACTGTACCGGGCAGATGGCAGACAGCATGTTTGGCGTTGTGTGGGCAAGCAGTTTGCTGATGTGAACATTGTGAACAGAGTGCCCCATGGTGGTGTGGGGGTTATGGTATACGATATGACAACAAACACAATTGCATTTTATCGATGGCAATTTGAATGCACAGAGATACTGTGACGAGATCCTGAGTCCCATTGTCGTGCCATTCATCCGCTGCCATCACGTCGTTTCAGCATGATAATGCACAGTCCCATGTCGCAATAATCTGTACACAATTCCAGGAAGCTGAAAATGTCTCAACTCTTCCATGGCCTGCATACTCACCAGACACGTCACCCATTGAGCATCTATGGGATGCTCTGAATCGACGTGTACGACTGCGTGTTACAGTTCCCTCCAATATCCAGCAACTTCGCACAGCCATTGAAGAGGAGTGGGATAACATTCCACAGGCCACAATCAACAGCCTGATCAACTCTATGACTCAGATACTTACTGGTTTTCTGATCCACGCCCCTACTTTTTTTTTTTAAGGTATCTGTGACCAACAGATGCATATCTGTTTTCCCAGTCATGTGAAATCTATAGATTAGGCCCTAATTAATTTATTTCAATTCACTGATTTCCTTATATGAACTGTAACTCAGTAAAATCTTTTAAATTGTTGCATTTGTATTTTTGTTCAGTGTACAGTTGAAGTCAGAAGTTTACATACACTTAGGTTGGAGTCATTAAAACTCATTTTTCAACCACTCCACAGATTTCTTGTTAACAAACTATAGTTTTGGCAAGTCGGTTAAGACATCTACTTTGTGCATGACACAAGTAATTTTTCCAACAATTGTTTACAGACAGATTATTTCACTTATAATTCACTGTATCACAATTCCAGTGGGTCAGAAGTTTACATACACTAAGTTGACTGTGCCTTTAAACAGGTTGGAAAATTCCAGAAAAATTATGTCATGGCTTTAGAAGCTTCTGATAGGCTAATTGACATCATTTGAGTCAATTTGAGGTGTACCTGTGGATGTATTTCAAGGCCTACCTTCAAACTCAGTGCCTCTTTGCTTGACATTATGGAAAAATCTAAATAAATCAGCCAAGACCTCAGAAAAAGAATTGTAGACCTCCACAGGTCTGGTTCATCCTTGGGAGCAATGTCCAAACGCCTGAAGGTACCACGTTCATCTGTACAAACAATAGTACGCAAGTATAAACACCATGGGACCACGCAGCCGTCATACCGCTCAGGAAGGAGACACGTTCTGTCTCCTAGAGATGAACGTACTTTGGTGCGAAAAGTGCAAATCAATCCCAGACTACAGTTTGCAACTGGGACAAAGATTGTACTTTTTGGAGAAATGTCCTCTGGTCTGATTAAACAAAAATAGAACAGTTTGGCCATAATGACCATAGTTATGTTTGGAGGAAAAAGGGGGTGGCAGCATCATGCTGTGGGGGTGCTTTGCTGCAGGAGGGACTGGTGCACTTCACAAAATAGATGGCATCATGAGGAAGGAAAATTATGTGGATATATTGAAGCGACATCTCATGACATCAGTCAGGAAGTTAAAGCTTGGTCGCAAATGGGTCTTCCAAATGGAAAATGATCCCAAGCATACTTCCAAAGTTGTGGCAAAATGGCTTAAGGACAACAAAGTCAAGGTATTGGAGTGGCCATCACAAATCCCTGACCTCAATCCTATAGAACATTTGTGGGCAGAACTGAAAAAGCGTGTGCAAGCAAGGAGGCCTACAAACCTGACTCAGTTACACCAGCTCTGTCAGGAGGAATGGGCCAAAATTCACCCAACTTATTGTGGGAAGGTTGTGGAAGGCTACCCAAAACGTTTGACCCAAGTTAAACAATTTAAAGGCAATGCTACCAAATACTAATTCAGTGTATGTAAACTTCTGACCCACTGGGAATGTGATGAAAGAAATAAAAGCTGAAATAAATCATTCTCTCTACTATTATTCTGACATTTCACATTCTTAAAATAAAGTGGTGATCCTAACTGACCTAAGACAGGGCATTTTTACTAGGATTAAATGTCAGGAATTGTGAAAAACTGAGTTTAAATGTATTTGGCTAAGGTGTATGTAAACTTCCGACTTCAACTGAACAGAGCCATAAAGGAGATTGGGCATCTACCACCACACTATCAGTTTGGGTGGGTGGGGTTAAGGGGTGATGGACTCTGAACTCCCCATTACCCACTAATTCATTTTTGCAGATTAAAAGTGTTAGAGCTAGTAATGTATCAATATTTATCTTTAAAAATTAGCTATGACACCAAATGAATATATAGCAGACCTTTGGATTTCACCCCCGTCTCATAATCGAATGGTTTGACCGTTTGGAAGTTTTGACAAGTCAGAGTGAGCTTCTCTTCTTCTCCTGCTTCCACCATGCAGTGCGGGTAGCAAAAGTGATTGCTGTCCTCATTATTCAATTATTAACTTTACCCTGTATATCTACAAATGACCATATATACCGATTGCTTCAAGCAAAACTACCAAAACTATTGCTGATGGTGAACCTGAATTATCTAAGTAAAATATAATGTAATCCCGATCAGCATGTAGGCAATAGCCAGATGACAGTTATGTCTCTGGTGGTAGCTCAGGGTCATCTCCATGTAAAAGGACCCATGAGCACCAACACGTCAAATGAAAGCTAAGAGTCTATATTTATTTATTTATTAAGGCATATACATTTTCCAACAATTGTCCATCCTAAAAATTATGAATAAGCAAAGGCTTTGATTTCTGGTCAAACAAATGGTAAGGGGGTCTTTGAAAACATCTACCAGAAAAAGTCTTAAAAGGTATTATACATACATCAACACACAATAATGTTGAAGTAAAGACCCCTGCCAACTAATATCAACACTTATATTTAGTTTTGGATAAATGTTTTGCCTTCTTTAAGTTTAAGAAACATTGCCTTGTGCCTTGAAATTCAGTTACCAAAAACCCACATATCTTTAAGATATTTTAACATTTCTCTCCCTCATGAGAAGGGAGGATAATCCTCATGAGAAGGGAGGATAATGAAAGTTCACAGAAGTAACAAGTAAAGGTAGACCTATCAATTAGTTATACTGTTTTTACTGATATCAATTTTGTTTATGAATTATTAAGTGATTAGAATTTGAAATTCCGTTACCAAATCGGTAACAGAATTTTCAGAAGGTAGAAAGAAAGTAATTTGACTAAAACATTTTAGTGAACCGCCGATTCGTAACTTTGAATAGATTTTCTGACTGATGCATGCTACATTTGGATCGGTTTAGTGTTTAGGAGGAGTGAAAACCCGCAGACACTTGGCCCTCTGTGGAATGAGTTTGACACCTGTGCCTTAAGGTATAAAAAAATATATACTTGATGAAACAATTAATTTGGCCTTACTGCTATCAGCCCATAGAAACGCATTGAATAACAGCTTCATACATGGATAAAAAAAAAAAAAATCTAAAGGAAGTCTGTTCTGAAGTGTCTGTCCTATATCTGTGTTTTGCTCCGTTCATCCGTGTTTGTGAGAGACTCACCTTTCCATAGAGGGATCATATTAGCGTGTAGCTCAAACTATTTGGACGCTACAGACAGAAGTTGGCAGATTGGCTGTACCGACTCCAGACGAGTCCCAAGACACTTGTGGGGGTCGTAAAGCAAAACAGTCTCATCTTTCCATAGAGGGGTCATAATTGTTTTTGTAGGCCAAACCGTTCGCACACTACAGATGTTTTTGTGAGAAGACCGATTTTCAGGATGTCTCATGGTCTGACAAACACAATTCTAGCTCTGCCACCTTTCACCGCAGATGCGGAAAGGCAAAATCGGCGGATGCAGTGGATTGAGACGCAGCCCATGCAAAAAAACAGATATGTCTAGCTTAACCTGACGGATTTTGATGGGCGCGCAGACATCGACTCTAGGGGGTTAATAAACACTACAAATGATTAAAACACATTCATAAGCTCCTCTGACCTCCTCAATGAGCTTGCTGTTGGTCTTCTCTATGGAGTCCATCTTGGCCTGCAGGTCAGTGACGGAGCAGCTCAGGTGTCTGTTCAGCTCCTCAATGTAGTGCTTCTGGTCCAATATGGCCGTCATTTTAGCATCGCTGACAGAGGAGAGGTTACAGGAGATGAGACAGAATAACAGAGAGAGAGGAGTTTGGTTTATGTTGATGCTTTATCTTTGTATCACTGAGAAAGAAAGAGGAAATTAGAATAGGAAAAAACAAAGAGAGGAGGAGGTTAGAGGAAAGGAGAATAGTCATAAATAAACAGAGGAGTGTGTTTGGGGTGAGGGACGAAAGGCAGAGACATAGTACTTACTCCTTAGTGGTCTCAGTGGTCATAGGGTCCTTCAGGTACAAGGAGAAGTCTATGACCCCAACCTGGGAATCCAGGTCCTCTCCTTTGATACAGAGGTTAGCGTCGATGACGTTTAGCCCCACCAGCATCCCTCCTATCACTGTCCCCTCCTCCTCCATCATCAACGCTCCTGGATCATAGAACTCACTGTGGGAGGAAGGAGGGAGAGAGAGAGATGTAATAAGATAGATACAATAACTACTGTAAATGTGAATAGGACACAAAATGCTTACTGGTATTACATGTTTATTACATACTTATTACACTGACTCAGTTCCAGCAGCAGAGCCTTGCGCTGTACTCACCACAGGAGGTCCTTATGGTCTAGCAGGGCTTTCAGGTAGTCAGACAACTTCTTCTGCATCAGGGCCAGATGCAGCCAGGCCCGAGCCCGACCTAACCCAGTCTTTAGCCCTGGCAGGTCTCTGGCGCTGGTGGCAATATCAGTAGACTCAGGACACAGCTTCTGAACCAGCTCCAGAGGACCCCAGATAGACTTATTCTGATTGATGAATGACTTCTTCACTACAGAGAGAGAAGATAGGAGAATGTTGAGGTAGTGTTCTTCAAAGTCCAAAACTAGTAAGTCTCCAACTTGGTTGTGCAGGCTTTCGCTCCAGCCCCGCAGTAACACACCTGATTCAGCTAATCAAGACCCTGACAAAAGTCTGCAACACACCTAGTAGCTTTCCAGGCAGAGGGTTGGCCTGTCACCCCAAGTCTCACCTTTCAGTCCGTGTTTGAGGCAGTGCTCCAGAACCACAAAGAACTGCTGCAGAGGAGGGTAGTCAGAGTCCAGGGTTCTGCCCAGACTCAGAGATGACTGGATCAGGACCTTAATACTCAGCTTCATCATACTGAACAGGTTGGAGCGCTCCACAGCCATATGGTCCTTCACAGCTACAAATAGAGAGGGCGAGACAGAGAGAAAAATTAAGAGAGTAGAGAAAGAGAGAAAAAGAGAGGCGAGAGAGAAAGAGGGAAAGAAAAAAGAGAGGAAAGGAAGGGAGAGAGAGATCTTAATCTGAGTTTCCTGTGCAAAAGTAATTTCAAAAAGTACACTAAGAAATGACCACGGACAAATATAGACTATTAGATATGTCGTCGATATATATGATGTTGATGCATGCCATTCTGAATTCCTCGCCAGGCAGGAGTCATGTGTTCTGATGACAACTGAGATACAGAAGAGGGAAGTCGCTGGTTCAGCACTTCACTACCTACTAAGTATATATACTTCCACATTGGCGTGCAATACAATAACCTTGCTACGTACCTGGTAGGTATTGGTTAGTGTTGGTGTCATTCTCCGTAGAGTTTTGTATAGTCGGACTCGTCGGAGAGCTCGCGGCAGATGCCGACGATGTGGCGTTTCTCAAAGCTGCACGGTAGCTGACCCCACTGCTGATCGTCTCGGTCGCCTTCCGTGCCAGCGACAGGATCGGTGTTGACCAGTTGCTCTCGGTCGCCGGTTTGTCTTTTGGAGCCTCTTCATCGCTGCTAATGCCAACAGGGTGGCTGTCTGGAAGAACTTCCAAAACTTTGGGTTCCTCTTCTTTTGCCTCGCTTTCCTCAGCGGCTGTGTTTGTTTCACCTACCCCGTCGGCCATGTTTTCATAATGGAACACGTGACTCCAGGCCAGAGCAGTCGCCTATCATGCCTGCGAGAACTCCAAAGTAATCGAGCTATGATTTTCAGTAAGTGTTCTTTTAATTCGTTTCGCATTGTTTGAAGTGTTTTCTTTCCAATAATATTTTACGACTTTTTTAAGCGAAGCTAAGTATTTTTATGTATTATTATTATATATATATTGATTGCAACAATAATACCAATATTACACATGAATACAGGGACATTCATGTGTATAGAATAAAAATTAATTTAAAAAAAAAATACTTTTTTTGCTAAGTATTGGGGACAACAGCCAATATTTATGAAATTATAGATGTGTAGCTATTTCATGCCACTAGATGTCACTATTGATATTGTCTCTTGTCCTTCAGGTGTGTCTCCATTGCGTAGGTAGGCCTATGATGAAACTGAGTTAAGGTTTCAGACCTAGAAGTGCATTCAGATCAGTGGCTTTTGGTTGACAACATATTATTAAAGATTTAAACCAGTTTCGAACACGTTTAGCTGTTTTCCCGGTTATAGATTAAGTCTAGTCCTGACTAAGTAGATCTTTCAATAGAGAATCTCCATTGAACATGTTTTTTTTTTAGTTCAGGACCAGGCTTATTAAACTGTGACTGGTAAACTGACCCTAAATGTCATAATTTGCATGTTTTTTTCTATTAATGTAGTCACAGGTCTAATGGTAGCGTTTTGTCCTTTATTCACATTCATTCAAATGATACAGAAAGAGGCACAATATGATCAGCAATATGATGTGAAGCAATGCACTTTTATGTTATTTTTCTAACTTAAATTCCTAAACAGTCAACAAAATTAGACACATTTTCATTTAGCCTACATTAGATTGTTGTAACTTTATAACCCATGTATATGCTTTAAACCACTCTATATGTATAAACCATTATAATAAGGTGTATAGCATATAAACATGTTGTAATAGACAGATTACAGTAGTCTACCGTTTAGGCGTGGTCGAGGCAGTCTATATAAATCGTGACGCCTCTAGTCTGGCGTTCCTTCCACTCGTCCCCACTCTGCAAAGGCTGTGTGCGCCACCGCTACCCGAGACGCGCCCGGCATCTTGAATAAGAAAGTCGCACTGAGAACCGAAGGAATAGGCCTACCATGAACGTGTAAAGAAAACAAATATCGAGTACGTGGACAAGAGAAAGGAAAACGATATACAGTGATTTTTGCAGAATTACAGTTGGTGGTGATTGAAGTTTGAAGACATGAGGATTCTACGAGTTGCGCTCCTGCTCGTCCATGCCTTTGGTAAGTGTCAAGTTACACTTTTATATATCAAGTCAGATTATATAGTTCCTATTCTGTAGCGTTTATACTTTAACATTGAATAAACTATTGGTGGTAATAGTTTCTCCTAGACTTGATTCCTCCTAAATGGTATATTTCTTATTCATAAGAGACATGTCTTGGAGTTACACTTGTTGACTGTAAAAGAGTGTGAACTCTAGCATGACCTTCTGAGCAAGTCACATAAACTTTAAAAAGAAGAGTCAACGATTTTCATAAGGTGTAGGCCAGTCTATGCCATTGAAGAACGAAGTGTGGTCATCTTTCTATTTTAAAACATGCTTTATGTAACTGGATATACTTATTTTTAACTCATATTCTTGTACATTAGCTAACTGTCTGTCAATGCAACATTTTGTGTACCATAGCCAAGCAGGATTATAGTCTCCCCTGTACAGAATACTGTACATGCATGATGTTGTTGGGTGCCTCACAGTTCTTGGAGCTGAAATGCAACTATCCAGTTTAATAGGCTCACCTGGAGGGGCCATGGGGCCTCATGCAGGGTTCTCAGTCTAGAGACATGTTTCAACTTGCCCACTCAAACCCCTCCATTTTCTTGGCACCTGAATGAATTACTGTGTTGGAAAGAAAAGCTTGTCTTCCCAGTGAGCAAAACTGCTTGAAAAGATTTCATTTCAACAAGTTTTGCCATTGAAATGATGTATTTTCAACTAGCATTGCTCACTGGGTTAACTCCTCACGGTGTCAGTCAGAATCTAATCTACATCTTTAAACCACAAACTATTGAATTGTGTAGCATCAATAATGGTCAAATGTTAATCTTGTGTTTCCTTGTGTTTTCCAGTGGTGTCGAGATTGGTGAGTGGAGCTGTGGTGGACAGGTATGAGATTGAGAGGCCGCAGCAGCAGCACACGGCAGTTATCAACCTGTTGGATGTCCTGAGCGACAGAAGGATGGAGGGAGGGATGGAGGAGAGTAACCACGGCGTGGAGGGTCCAGTGTTGGAGGATGATGGAAGTGAGGAAGAGGATGAGGAGTACTATGATTACTACGATGAAGATGAAGAAGATGCCTCAGGGGACTATGAGGTGGAATTACCTCGAGGTATTTAATAACTCACTTTGATTTATGTTTGTTTATTGCTCTGTTGTAGATCCTCCTATTGTTTATAGGTTCTGGAATCCTCACTGACACATTTATTAGAATACCCTTTATAAACATGATTTGTGGCACTATTATTCATTAGTTTAACTGACAGGTTGTCAGTTCCATTTGAACACCTGTTCCTATGCAACCCGTAGTTAAATTTACTGTATGGACCAGGTAGCCTAGCGGTTAGAGCGTTGGGCCAGTAACCCTAATTTGCGCCAGGGGTGCTGTACTACTATGGCTCACCCTGTAAAACAACACATTTCACTGCACCTATCTGGTGTATGTGACAGTAAAACTTGTATTCTATGAGATGTGTTGGCTAGATCCATGGATTCAGTTGATAAACATTTCTTGTCTGTGTTCTTTTCTTTTTTTTAGTTGCATTGTCGACTAAACCTAAAGACCCATCGGCCATCTTGGAAGCTGAGAGGAAGAGGAGGAGAGGAAAGGGGAGGAAGAAGGGAAAGGGGAAGGGGAAGAAGAGGAACCCTTGTCTGAAGAAGTATAAGGACTTTTGTATCCATGGCACCTGTCATTACCTGAGGGACATCAAAGCTGCGTCATGCATGTAAGAAACACCTCTCTCTCTCTCTCTCTCTTTTCTCTCTCTCTCTCTCTCTCTATCTCTCTCTCTCTCTCTAGTCTTCTCTCTCTCTCTTCTCTCCTCTCTCTCTTCTCTCTCTCTCTATGCTACTCTCTCTCTCCTTCTCTAAAACTGCGGCTCTCTCTCTATCATCTCTTATCTCTTTCTAAACTGCTCTCTCTTCTCTCTCTCTCTCTCTCTCTCTTCTCTTCTCTCTCTCTCTCTCTTCTCTCTCTGCTCTCTCTCTCGCTCTCTCTCGCTCTTCTCTCTTCTTTTCATCTCTCCCGCTAGCTCTCCCTCTCTCTTTCTCTAAACCGCTCTCTCTCTCTTTCTCTCTCTCTCTCTTTCTCTCTCTCGCTCTCTTTCATTCTCTCCCGCTAGCTCTCCCTCTCTCTTTCTCTAACCCGCTCTGTCTCTAGCTCCATCTCTATCTCTCCAGAAGAACAATATGCCTGTTGTACTGTATGTTGCATGAATCACATCTCACCCCTCTCCCTCTCTCTCTCTCTCTCTCTTTCTCCTTGTGCAGATGTCGTCCCAGTTACTCTGGGGAGCGGTGTCACCTGTTCACGCTGGCTTCAGAGGGGAGGGACGTGGGAGGCTACAGCAGGACCACAGCTCTGGCTGTGGTGGCAGTGGTGTTGTCCTCTCTCTGTCTCACCATCATAGGCCTGCTGCTGGTGCTCAGGTCAGTACTACAGCCTTACACACACACACACACACAGTTTACCACAATTTTTCACCAGAGCAGCTGTATAACACAGGGGGTGTATAGAACCAGAGCAGCTGTATGACACAGGGGGTGTATAGAACCAGAGCAGCTGTATAACACAGGGGGTGTATAGAACCAGAGCAGCTGTATAACACAGGGGGTGTATAGAACCAGAGCAGCTGTATGACACAGGGGGTGTATAGAACCAGAGCAGCTGTATAACACAGGGGGTGTATAGAACCAGAGCAGCTGTATAACACAGGGGGTGTATAGAACCAGAGCAGCTGTATGACACAGGGGGTGTATAGAACCAGAGCAGCTGTATGACACAGGGGGTGTATAGAACCAGAGCAGCTGTATGACACAGGGGGTATATAGAACCAGAGCAGCTGTATAACACAGGGGGTGTATAGAACCAGAGCAGCTGTATAACACAGGGGGTGTACAGAACCAGAGCAGCTATATGACACATTATACATTGCATTATGCAGCAGCTGAAGATAAACAAAGTCTGTATTGGCACTGTATTGTGGAAATGGGCCAACAGGAAATGAATAGTACACAACCTAATTGATTGTAGAGGAAAAGGGAGATGAGGCTATAACAAACATATGACAGGATAGTTCAGCATTGTCATAGTTCAACATGTCATAGTTTAGCGTTATTGTTCTCACCTCACAACAATTATGGGAACCACAGGTGTTATTGTTGTTGTTGTTGTTGTTGTTGTTGTTGTTGTTGTTGTTGTTGTTGTTGTTGTTGTTGTTTCAAAACAGTTCCAGGATCCACAGGTCTGAACTCTGTTGTTGTTTTCCTCCAGGTTTCACAAGCGAGGAGCGTACGACATAGAGAATGAGGAGAAGGTGAAACTGGGGTCAGCGCCCAACCACTGAAGAGCTGGAGAGAAGGGTGAGTTACCAGGGAAACCTAAATTCCTCAATTGACAGAAAGTCAAACGTCATCATAACATTACTATACATTACAGTATGATTGTGAAACAGAGGCTGGATTTAGATTGATGAAAGATTAGTCTGGGTTTTGTTTTCACACGGTCTGAGTGTTGAAGGAGTGTTGTATGAGTGTTGAAGGAGTGTTGTCTGAGTGTTGAAAGAAACTTGATCACTCATTGTTTCTCCCTCTTCTATTTCAGGACAGGATAGGGAAATTCTACCTCAAAATAGAAAAGAAGAAGTGAAAAAAAGCCAGGAGAGAACCCAGAGAGACATGGAAGGTATGGGAGAGAAGGGGGACTAGATGGGCGTGACCTGGACACATAGCCCCATCCCGTCTCACTGATGGACAGATGTGATTGGGTAGCTCAGGATTCTGCGGTAGGCCCTGCAACCTATCAGGAGATAGCCTGCCTAAAACTGGAACTCTGATTGGCTGGGAGAAAAGACTGGAGTGGTGATGAGGATATGGAATTTGAGAGGAAGAGGAGGAACATTTCTGGGCCCGTATCCACAAAGCGTCTCAGAGAAGGAGAGCTGATCTAGGATGAGTTTTACCTTTAGATCATAATGAATAAGATTATATGGACTGACCCTGGATCAGCACTCCTTCTCTGAGATGCTTTGTGGAAACGTCCCTAGACTCAGTGCTGCTTCTTGTTAAAAAGACTACCAGGAGTCTCAAACTAAAAGAACACCATCTTCTCTTCTTCTGCCAGAAACAGAGAAAACCCTGGTCTTTCTTCAAAAGGAGTGTTGTTTTTACCAATCAGCATTTGTATTTTCCTGCACATGTTCGTTCGTTGTCGTTTTCTAGCGTACTGTAAAACTTTTATTTATACCATATACTTCCTCTTTTAATTTATTTATTTATGTGTTGTTGTTGCTGTATTTATGCAGATTTTTAACTGCTTCTTCTACCCAAAGATGCACTGCCAGTTTGTAAAGATTATATATCAGGTCATCATTGTGTTTTTATATTTAAATGTTAAATCCTATTTATTGATGAGAATTAAGATAAAAGGAATAAAACATGTACAGTACTTTTGGAGAAATCGACATTTAAAAGTAAGAGTCCTCTTGGTCTCATAGAGCTACCTGATTGCTGACTGTGATATCGGCACTCTGGTTACAGGCAGCTGAGAACACACACCACTGTGGTTGGTTGATTGACTTATTGATTGATTGATTAAACAGCGCTGTGGTGTATTCCACCAATGTACCACTGACAGGTCTCTCTGTGTGTACCATTATGACGTGGTTGCATTGGTCTTCTGTGTTTGACTCTGTGAAGAAGACATGCAAAGCATCCAGACATAGAAGTAAATTTAACAGAACCTACTCTAGAATCCCAAAATATAGAATATAGAAAATATTCTAGAATGTTTAAAATCTAGAATCCAGTTTAGATTTTTCTGTATTATAATCAGGATGTGGAATAGGTACAAGGTAAACGCTGGTGCCTTGTTGAGTCCAGCCATTGTAGCGAGTGTTGGAAGGCAGAAACACACACAAATGGCGTAGTTTTTATTGTCTATAAGAAACGAGTTGGACATAAATCTCCAACAGTGTTATCTCCAATTTCAGTCATTTATTTCTGTGACCTGCCAGTTAGTTGTGGTGTTGTCTTGTCTTAGCATGGTGGGCATGGTTAGGGATATACTCAGTGATTTACTGTCCTGTATTATACACTGAGATCCATGCTAAGATCATGATGAAATGTGAATTCATTCAAGTGGTCAGCCTTTTAAAAACGAATAACCCTCCTCAAGAAAAACATCCTGGAAACAACCTGCAGTTTTGAAGTGATTTCTAGTCAAAAAGGGTTTGTTTTTTTTCTCCGAAAATAAAGTATTTTTTCTCCGAATTCACGAAGTCATTGTATTTATTATGCTTTGTCTGTGTCACTAACGCTGCATGTACACAGGCAGACTAATTCTGATATTTTTTCCACTAATTGGTCCTTTGGCCAATTACTAGCCTGTTCAACCTCTCTTTCGTAACATCTGAGATCCCCAGAGATTGGAAAGCTGCCGCGGTCATCCCCCTCTTCAAAGGGGGTGACACTCTAGATCCAAACTGTTACAGACCTATATCCATCCTGCCCTGCCTTTCGAAAGTTTTTGAAAGCCAAGTTAACAAACAGATCACCGACCATTTTGAATCCCACCGTACCTTCTCCGCTATGCAATCCGGTTTCCGAGCTGGTCATGGGTGCACCTCAGCCACCCTCAAGGTCCTAAACGATATTATAACCGCGATCGATAATAGACATTACTGTGCAGCCGTCTTCATCGACCTGGCCAAGGCTTTCGACTCTGTCAACCACCCCATTCTTATTGGCAGACTAAATAGCCTTGGTTTCTCAAATGACTGCCTCGCCTGGTTCACCAACTACTTCTCAGATAGAGTTCAATGTGTCAAATCAGAGGGCCTGTTGTCTGGACCTATGGCAGTCTCTATGGGGGTGCCACAGGGTTCAATTCTCGGGCCGACTCTATTCTCTGTGTATATCAATGATGTCGCTCTTGCTGCTGGTGACTCTCAGATCCACCTCTACGCAGACGACACCATTTTGTATGCATCTGGCCCTGTGATAACAAACCTCCAAACGAGCTTCAATGCCATACAACACTCCTTCAGTAGCCTCCAACTGCTCTTAAACACTAGTAAAACTAAATGCATGCTCTTCAATCGAACGCTGCTGGCACCCGCCCACCCGACTAGAATCACTACTCTCGACGGGTCTGACCTAGAGTATGTGGACAACTACAAATACCTAGGTGTCTGGTTAGACTGTAAACTCTCCTTCCAGACTCACATTAAGCAACTCCAATCCAAAGTTACATCTAGAATCGGCTTCCTATTTCGTAACAAAGCCTCCTTCACTCATGCTGCCAAACATGCCCTCGTAAAACTGACTATCCTACTGATCCTTGACTTCGGCGATGTCATTTACAAAATAGCCTCCAACACTCTACTCAGCAAATTGACTGTAGTCTATCACAGTGCCATCCGTTTTGTCTCCAAAGCCCCATACACTACCCACCACTGTGACCTGTACGCTCTTGTTGGCTGGTCCTCACTACATATTCGTCGTCAAACCAACTGGCTCCAGGCCATCTATAAATCACTGCTAGGCAAATCCCCGCCTTATCTTAGCTTATTGGTCACCATAGCAACACCCACCCGTAGTATGCGCTCCAGCAGGTATATCTCACTGGTCATCCCCAAAGCCAACACCTCCTTTGGCCGCCATTCCTTCCAGTTCTCTGCTGCCAATGACTGGAACGAATTGCAAAAATCTCTGAAGCTGGAGACTCTTATCTCCCTCACTAACTTTAAGCATCAGTTGTCAGAGCACCTTACCGATCACTGCACCTGTACACAGCCCATCTGAAATGAGCCCACCCAACTACCTCATCCCCATATTGTTATTTATTTTGCTCATTTGCACCCCAGTATCTCTATTTGCACATCATCTCTTGCACATCTATCATTCCAGTGTTAATACTAATTGTAATGATTTAGCACTATGGCCTATTTATTGCCTTACCTCCATAACTTGCTACATTTGAACACACTGTATATATATTTTCTGTTGTATTTTTTTTTACTTTATGTTTTGTTTTACCCCATATGTAATTCTGTGTTGTTGTTTTTTATCGCACTGCTTTGCTTTATCTTGGCCAGGTCGCAGTTGTAAATGAGAACTTGTTCTCAACTTGCTTACCTGGTTAAATAAAGGTTAAATAAAAAATAAATAATTGGCCAAAAGATCAGAATTGGACTGCCTGTGTGAATACAGCCTATAGCTCATATCCATATCAGCTGCTATCTATACACTGATGAGTGATTTCAACTCAGAATCATGATGCAACAAAGTTACCTCTAGACACTGATCTAATGTCAGTTTAGGGTCAGCTGTTTCGGATTGGAAGAAGGTAATCTTATTCAAGATCTGAGGTGGTTAAGATACGTTTTCTTTTTTACCTCAAGCTACTCCTCCTATCTGTTATTATAGATTAATAACATTTCTATACTAATGGCCTAGGCTTCACCTTGATAGTAAAGGTCACCATTATTATAGCTATCTGGTAAACTTCCTGTGCGAGTGTGTCAGTATGGCCTCATATTGTAGTGATATTTAAAAAGAGAGACCGGTCTGGGACGATAACACTACTGTGTCCTTTTGGCCTTTCAGTCACTGGCAGTAATTATAGAAAAGATAATATTTGTCCCCACCCCCTCCCTTTCACCTCTCTTCTCCTCCCTCCTTTCCCCCATGCTTCAGCTAGTCCTTTCAACCAGAGCACCTGTATCCTGGCCAAGGGTCACCTTCAGGATGTGCAGCCAGCCCTTGCAAGCTTTCTGAAGAGTTTCGTCTTAAGTCATTTCTTGAGTAACTTACGTTTACTCTTAACTTCTTAAGAACATTTTCTCTTTCCATAAATCATCTCCACATGTGTTCATGCCAATGACAAAAGGGCTGGCAAAATCACAAGCAGACCTGGCTAGCCAGCTAGAAGGCTACCCAGCTACAGTAATCTAGTATATCCGCAGCTGTTCTCCTTCGATCTACAGTAATCTAGTATATCCACAGCTGTTCTCCTTCGATCTACAGTAATCTAGTATATCCACAGCTGTTCTCCTTCGATCTACAGTAATCTAGTATATCCACAGCTGTTCTCATTCGAGCTACAGTAATCTAGTATATCCCCAGCTGTTCTCCTTCGATCTACAGTAATCTAGTATATCCCCAGCTGTTCTCCTTCGATCTACAGTAATCTAGTATATCCACAGCTGTTCTCCTTCGATCTACAGTAATCTAGTATATCCCCAGCTGTTCTCCTTCGATCTACAGTAATCTAGTATATCCCCAGCTGTTCTCCTTCGATCTACAGTAATCTAGTATATCCCCAGCTGTTCTCCTTCGATCTACAGTAATCTAGTATATCCAAAGCTGTTCTCCTTCGATCTACAGTAATCTAGTATATCCACAGCTGTTCTCCTTCGATCTACAGTAATCTAGTATATCCCCAGCTGTTCTCCTTCGATCTTCAGTAATCTAGTATATCCCCAGCTGTTCTCCTTCGATCTTCAGTAATCTAGTATATCCCCAGCTGTTCTCCTTCGATCTACAGTAATCTAGTATATCCCCAGCTGTTCTCCTTCGATCTACAGTAATCTAGTATATCCCCAGCTGTTCTCCTTCGATCTACAGTAATCTAGTATATCCACAGCTGTTCTCCTTCGATCTACAGTAATCTAGTATATCCCCAGCTGTTCTCCTTCGATCTACAGTAATCTAGTATATCCCCAGCTGTTCTCCTTCGATCTACAGTAATCTAGTATATCCCCAGCTGTTCTCTTTCGATCTACAGTAATCTAGTATATCCCCAGCTGTTCTCACTTCCCAGTTATGAGGTTTGCATCTAATTGTTGTATAAAACGAATTATTAAGTATACTAATACTTTTGTGAAGTTAACAAT